TCCGTTTTTCTCTTACTCGGCTAACCAACACACTATTTCATATTTGATGACCAGTTAGAGCTTTGTCACTGACCTATTTCATGCATGTGTGATTAGTAAAAATAGATTCATTATATAACTGGTAACTAATGGTGCGAAGACCACGTGAAAGACTCAACATGAACAATCTTCTGTGTGCGTGTAACTGCTGTTCACTGTTAGACATGAACGCACACTATCCTATCCGTTTTTCTTTTGGGTCTTCGTGACAATACTTCTATACAGCGACATGGTTTCGTTCGGCAGCGAGATCACGTGATAACGTTTTATCATGTCACATGAACGTGAATAATAGGCACTGTGATTGATTTCATAGTTTCAGGAATATGGAGAATGATAATAGAACAATAGAATAAAATAATATATAATAAATGAACATGTCCGTGAATCAAATCCAATGAATTACTGTAAACAATCAAAAGAGAGATAAGTCAAGTCAGTCTCACACACCCTGATCGGAGGTGAACTGTTAGTCGGATTGAAAAATTACAGTGGAAGGACAGATTAATATGGTAAAATAGATGGTAAACAAATAAGAAACGTAAGCTGAAAGGTGCTTTATAGTCATGGGCATGTGGCCGGTAGAGATACGTGACCCAACGAGGATTCGATGAACAGAACTAAACCGTTTCCTGTTCACCATTTTCCTCCAGGGGTGAGTGGTTTGATTCCCAACACCAACAGCACCAAATGCTACGCGCTGTTGAGGAGTTCTAGCAGTTTGTAAGTGCATTTGTTTTTTCGATCAGATCGAACACATTTTAGAGCAAAACCGAGTGAGGGAACTTTCAATGAGCAAAACCCGCACCTAACCAAAACCAATTGCAAATTTATTCGCGTACAGAGCAAATCAGTTCTAAACTGAAATGTTAGTAATAGATAAGCAATTAACAGACAACTGTTTTAACTCTGTTGAGTCCCATCAGCAGTACAAATCGATCGGTCCAACTTGGGATCGGACGTGAGACCTCACAGGCCGAAGGCAAGCATACTATCCACTGGACAACCGATCAGACCGTTCTTCATTTTGCTAATGCATCATATAGTACAAATTATCGGTCATGCAAGTATCTCACCTTGAAAATGAAAACCAGTCCCATCACCTGCTCGATGGTCGAGTGGATAATATGCTTGTGTTCTACCAGTGAATGACCGGGTTTGTTCCCCAGTTATATCAATCGATTTACACTGTTGATGAGATCCAACCTGGTCGAAACAGCTGCACAGTGCTTTCGAGCTTTTCAGTTTAAGCTTCATTTGCTCTATACATGACGAAGTGCGCCAAAGGAATAAATCAACTCGTTCATTACTCTCATGTACACTAGAAAGGGATATAAGGCTGAGAAATACGTAACCTCTCTTCCGGCCATACGTCTTTATAAATACTTGGTCATTTTTGCGCGGACACAGTGCTCCACTTTGATTGCCCTCTTGTTGTTGAATGCAAAATCCTTGGGGCGGGGGGCTTGGTTGTAAGACCTACACACCTAGCTTTCTGCACAGGGTTTAGCGCTGCCAGATTTCACAATTTCTATTGTGGTTATGTTGCGATTATATTGAGGCACATGATCAGCCACGTGACAAACAGCTTTTATGCCGATAATGCTTGACCAAATGTGCTCTTTGTGGGTACGCCACATACTTCGGGTTATTTGAGTTAAGTAATCGATCCATCCATCGGACTTTCGAGTCGGTTTGTAATGCAAAAGTAATTTCTTATTTCACTTAGCAAATAGTGTTAGTGATATTTTTGCTTATTTTGGGGATTCTTCAATTATTACAAATACTTGATCGAAACATTTAATGGTAAATCATCGAAGGTTTTGCTTTATGTCTTACCGAGTTCCTTCATCTGAGGATTTCTACTGGAAATCAGAAGTCTGAAATTCCTTGTCAGCGCTTTTCTGTCCCCGCAATACGATCAGTTTCTGTTTAAATTATGCTTTATGACTGTATATAGGTTTAAGATTAGAATTAGAAAGGTATTTTTGAAAAATCTCAGACTCCGAGAGGGAACAGAAAATAGAACTTGTGCTTTGGCAAATTTACGGGCTTTTTTGGAGTCATGCCACACTTCTCCATTATTACTGGAACATTTTCTATACAAAACAACGGGAGGTAAAACGTTATAATCACTTTACTATAAGACTTGGTGATCATTCATTTTTTACCCCTTTTATCATCCATTACGATCGATAAAAAGATGGCCGTTCGTATTTGAACTCTACCGTATGAATTAAATGGTTCAAAAATTCCCCATGTCGCTTAGAGTGGATACATTCAAGTGATGATAAGCCGAATGTGTAACCAGCCTCAGATATCGACTTTGTCGACGTACAACATCACGTGATCATTAGCTCAGTCAAATAAACAGTAAATAGTGGACAGCCCTGAAGCGTCAATCTGATCCCCATGTTTGCGTGTGACAGTGCATTGTACGAAGGGTAACATTTCACAGACGAACAGTTGTCAAAATCAAACTAGGTCAGGAATGAAAATCATTAAAAATTTGATAGTAAAACAGCAGCGATCCCTGCATATTTTGATCTCATTTTCAATATATATATAGTGTATAAAACAGTTTGCATCTGGTGATAAGATGCCGCAAGCCTCAACAAATTTACGCGTGTGTTTCAAAATATGAAACACAGCAGTCTCATTGTTACAGGCATTGATCCAACTCGTGCGACACCCTGAATTGTATCACATTTGTTCCTCCAAAAGACTAGTTTGAAAGTCTTAAACTACTACAAATTTGATTGCATCACTCGAGGTCGGGCACATTCAAACAGTTATACAAGAAAGCTGAGAACATTGCAGTGGTAGAGAAGGTTCGAAATAAATATTCTTCATCATAGCTATTGATATACACGTACAATAATGAAAAATTAAATGTATTTTCAAAATGAGAGTCACATTGCACGCGTTCGATCAATACCGATACTGTATCTGCAAACCTGTGTCTGTAGCTCAGATAAAAGACGGGTACAAAATTGACGAGAAATAGAAGAATAAGTCACATTTAATGCACTCACGTCCTAGCCTGATTGAATATCTATATTTTGTGTAACTTGATCTGTTTATCAGTTGGGTAGTCTTTGACAACTAGTTGCTTGCGTTTCTCCGTGTTGTCTGTGCTGTGCAGTTGAGAAGCCATGAAGATAAGTTCATTAAAAAGTCCAGGAAAACATGGCATTTTCGTCAAACTCTACATACCACTCAACGAATTCTCACACAAGCGTTGGCATGCATACACTCGTGGTTGGCTTCGGTACTGTGCTCCGCGTGCTTTTGCCATGCCACAACCCCAGCACCACATAATTACCTGCATCAGGCATACTTCCGACCGACCAGAATCGATCCTATAGTCCGGAGGACTGTCGACCACAGATCGATTAGTTTACGCACCCATACTACTTGGTTTTGTAAAAAGATGTATATCTTCCTCTGATATATTGATGCCAATCGATAATAATAATTAAGCTTTTCCCGTCAAAGACACAGAAATTGCTGGCGATTTGCTTCGCAAAGTAGTCGGAGACGAACCAAATTAAAGGGAAAAAGCTAAGGCTGAGTATAGTATGTTGCATAATTATCAAGGATTCGGAGAAAGGGCTTGTTTGAAATGAAACTGTGGGTGCATTATAAATGAGGGTGATGTTGGTATCTCATATGCAGATGATGATAAAAGCGATACTGTTGCAACAGTCTCTCCTGTACAATGCACGAGACACAAAATGTTCCTTCTATGTAGATGTGCACGAGCATACGGCAATACATGTGCGCATCTGTTTTATTACAAAATGTGTTTTTTAATGAAAATGTGAATATTGTTGT